CCTTTTGATTTGGCCTCTCTCTGGGCAAAGTAGAGTTTGAAAAGTCACCCAGCCACAGGGAAAGCCCAAGTTTCTGAGCAGCACAGAACACTCGGGTCTTTGTGACTTGGTGTTGGTCACCCCTGACTTTTTTTTCTTGTAGCCTCTGCGTGTCTTCCTTCACCCTGACTGTTCTTCTAACTCTGCACATTGTCTAGGTCTGAGACCTAAACTCGCCCTTATATGTAGCAAGGTTTACTGGAGCTCATTTAAGCTTCTTTTCCCTTTGTTTTTGAGTGGAAAAATCGGGTCACCAAGCTCACACCCAAACCAAAGCTGCACTTAGTACTCACTGGAGGGAAGTGCTTAGGGCTTTGGATTTAGCCTCCTGATTTTGAAGACACTGCTTCTTTCTCCTTACCTTGCCTCGGCAATTTCACTTTCCCCATACAGCGCATCACTAGTATTAATGCAATTAATCGGCTGGGAGCCTGTCTTGCTGGCACGGAGCGGGTACTATTATCCTCGTTTTACCCTGGGCAAAACTGAGGTTCAAAGCGACCCCGAGAGGTCTAAAGCTAAGAGGCGCCGCTGGATTAGAACCCAGGAGTGTCTGACTTAAAACTGCTGGGTGGTTCCTCTGTGGTCTGCCTCCCTCCCGAGCAGCTGCTCTGGGCTCCGGAGACGCTCAGCTCAGTACCTGGTGCGTTCCAGAGCGGCAGTTCCAGGTGGAGAATCTTAAAGCCCTTCTTTGGGTTATTCTTAACAAAATGTCCTTAGGGAGCTCATCTCCCACCTTCGGGGATAACTCTTCCCACTCCCATTCCTGCCTTATCCTTTCGGGCTCCCACCACCGAGACGGACTGGGTGGCTACACACCAGCGGGTGCCCGGCGGTCGCGGGCGCCTCCGAGGGCAGAGGACGGGGAGAGGGTCCCGCACCTACCTCGTCCCCGAAGCGCACCACCTTCTGGCCCGTGGGCCCGCGCAGGCCGGGAAAGCGCTCAAGGTCCTCGGAGTCCCCGGGGTGCCCGGGGTCGCGGGGAGTAGGGGTTCTCGGCCCCACCAGGCACCGGTCAATGATCTCGTCCTGCTGCGCTGGCGGCAGCCGCGCCCACTCGGGCCCGTACTTCTCGCGGATCTTCTCCTTGTCCTGCATGATCTTCCTGGCCATGGGGCTCAGCGACGAGAAGTAGGTGAAGCGCTTCCGTTCCCTGTCGTCCAGAGGCCGGTTCCCGCTCATGACCGCCGAGCGAGAGGCCGCGATCGCCGCCGCCATGGACGCCATACCCGGCCTGCCGCCGCTGCC